TCCGATTGATTTTTACAAAGCTCATCGGTCTGAAAAAGCGAGGTGTGCTGTGATTTGGCCAGCTATCCAGTGCGTTGTGATTGATTGGCCGAATACCTCAAGCGTGTGACGGAAATGTTATGCCCTTCACCATATTGTCATGATGCCCTGTCAGGCAGGAGCCATGATTCAAAAACGTGAAAACCCATTATAAACGAGGCATTCCTTGCATCCAGTGGGGACATAATTGTGGATTATAATGACTTGTACTGTCTTTTTTACATGTTGCATTGCATCTCGTCGCGTAAACCTAAAACCTTGTCTGCATGTGTGATCGGAGAAATGACAAACAACAAGACCTACTCTACACTGCCCAAAAAACTCGCTTTAAATATATAAAAACTCTTTAAATATAAAAAATGTACTTACAATCTTTGAGTCAGAACAGCCGGCATTGTGGTCTACTCTCCCAGGATCAGGAAACAGTCCTCCATAAAATGTGCTGAATATTTGGGTTGAAGTGTTCTGGAACAGTGTTGTAAATACAACTTAACCACTGATTTCTAGTAGTGTCCATTTTTGAAATGCCAAACAAAGTAGTTTCTTTCACAACGAAACCGCGACACATGGCGGCCTACAGTGAGCAGAGGCCGGGGGCTAGCGTGAGGAACGGCGGGAGGCTTAGAGTGAGCAGAGGCGGGTGGGCTTGACAACGGCGCAGCCGGCGATTTCGATGGAGCGTCCGGAAGGACATGTGACGACTCCGCTTTGTCCACGGTGAAAGCCGATCTGGTGATCGACAGCACAAAGTTGTAGTATTTCCTCAGCAACCAGCACGAATCAGCTCCAGGCATGACGAAGCAGATATCGTCCTCTTTTGGAAGGCCAAACTATGTGGGGGCGTGTTAGAACGAGCCGTTTTAGGGGGCGTGGCTGACTCTTAACTTTTATACAGAATATCTCTTTGGATTTGGGACTTTTTTTTTTTTTTTAGTCTTTGCAACTTTACAGATCTTCATCCACCAAGAGCTTGTAACACTCCAAAGAGAAAGGAGAAATCTAAATCGCATCATATGATCCCTTTAACTCAGTAGTACTGCAGCCTACTAGCTTACATTTGATTTACCTATTAGTCAACTTAGTTACTGCTATCATAAAAATACACTTTATATGTAGGTTTAAAATTCTACAAAAGACACATTTAATGTCCAAAAACACATTTTTTAGCAAAATGTATATTTTACTCGGAATTATTGTGCTCCTATTCGATTGTGCTCTGTTTAACGTGCATGCGCGTATAGCAGCGCTCGTTGCTCTCGCGTGCCTCGCCCACTCCTGACAGCAAAATGGATATATTTGCATGGCTTTCTAACATTTTCAGATGGAAAAATATACCTGTGACATGTCAGTTATGCACTGAGGAAAACACAACGTCTCAAATGCATTAAACGGCACAGGGATATATTCGCCGTTTGTCAAGGTGGATCGATTTGATCCGTGATCGACATTAAGGTCTGTTTAAAAATAAACGTGCACAGATTAGTGAGATTGTGTGAATTTGATTGGTCTTTAATGGAACCGCTTTAGCCCCGATTGATTTGTTAGGTTATTTCAGACCAGGTTTTGGACTTTAATCCCAGTTTTTCCTTGGGTCTCCATGGTGGTGTGATGCGTCATATTCACACAGCAGCAGTGTTGATGAGAGAGCGCAGAAACATTTTAGAGAGGAGAAATCAATCTACATATAAAAAATTGGTCACAGATTATTGGTCACTTTCTAAATAATAAAAGTATAGCGCATCCACTACTAATTATATATATATATATATATATATACATGAATCGGTTTTAACCAATGCATATGTTAGAAATGCATCGCGATATAAATGACAACTTAGCCGATGGACGCTTTTTAAACCGATGCATCGTATCGTTAACTTTTTATGCCGATGCACTGAGCGAATCCGACTCTTCCCATCCTATATAAATATATATATATATATATATCAGTGGGGAACCGTCAGGGCCCTCTAGGCCTAACTTATTCTAAACTATTTACAATTTTTAAATGTTTTAAAATTAAAATCATTAATTTTAAGCAATTCATAATTTGACAAACATTATCTAAATAAAATAAATACAACTTCTGTGGAAAAAAAACCTCTCTTCAAATCTGCGTATTCAGTGAATGGATTTATTAACACAGCCTATTTTCTCCATATTTGAATGGTTCCGCCTAGCGTTTGCGGCTCTGTTATTCGTGGTCCAGCTATGAAATTACAGAGGGCCAAGCGGGGAGTAATTTCGAATGACAGAATTTACCAATCATGTCTTTACTCTAAATGGGCGGGCCTTGTTATCACTAACTTTAAAGGGGTCATATGATGTGTGTTTTTTTTTTTTGTTGTTTTTTTTTCCCTTTCTCTTTGGAGTGTTACAAGCTCTTGGTGGATGAAGATCTGTAAAGTTGCAAAGACTAAAAAAAAAAAAAAAGTCCCAAATCCAAAGAGATATTCTGTATAAAAGTTAAGAGTCAGCCACGCCTACCTAAAATGGCTCATTCTAACACGCCCCCACATCTACCTCACTATGTGGGAAGATTTGCATAACACGAAGGGGTATTTTTTTTTTTTTTTTTTTTTTTTTTTTTTTTATTCTCACTGTAGTATTGTTGCCGCTTTCCGCCATGTCCTGAAGCACACGCTGTGCGTTGTGAAAGCGAAACCACTTTGTTTGGTCTTCCAAAAGAGGACACGACTACAAATCAGTAGTTAAGTTGTATTTACAACACCGTTCCAGAACCGTTTAACCCAAATATCCAGATGTGAGCAACACATTTTATGGAGGACTGTTTACTGATCCTGGGAGAGTAACGTTAGACTAAAATGCCGGCACTTCTGACTCGCGTAAGTACGTTTTCTTTTATCATTTGCCACTGATTCAAACGCGAGTTTTGGGCAGTGTGGAGTAGCACTTGTTGTTTGTCATTTCTCCGATCACAAATGCAGACAGGGTTTTGTTTGCGCGATGCAACGCGTAAAAAGACCGTAGAAGTCATTATAATCAGTAATTATGTCCCCACTGGATGCAACAAATGCCTCGTTTGTAATGGGTTTTAATGTTTTTGTCTCGTCGCTCCGGCCGGGACGGCATCAACAGTATGTGAGGGGCATAACATTTCTGTCTCACACTTGAGATATTCGGCCAATTACAACGCACTGGATAGCTGGCCAATCACAGCACACCTCGCTTTTTCAGACCGATGAGTTTTGTAAAGACTCGTTTCAAAGGCGGAGCATAGAGGAGAAATGTACAGTATGTAGAAAATGTTTTATTTTTTTTTTACTTTAAACCGCATAAACACATTTCATTACACCAAATACACAAAATAATTTTTTTTAGCGACATATGACCCCTTTAAGTTCCGCCCGCTGTGGGATCTCTAGCGGAAAAAAATATATACGCTGATAAACTAACTAGCCGTTATTCACGTCACGATGGAAGCCGCAAATAACGTAAGTGAGGACATTTACTAGGCCGCTGAGCCAATAATAATATTTATTATAAACGCTGCTTGTTTGTCACGAAGTGTCTGTCGCTATTTGTTTTGTCAGCGCTGTCATGATGTGTTGTCTTAAACACATTACATTTGTTGGTTTTGTGTGATGGGAGGGAGTGTCTGTTTTGCCCGCTGACTGAAGTGCAGATATTTGTAATGAGGATTTGCATTTGTCTTAAATTTAGCTGTTTTATTTAGGTAATATCAGTCACTCTCGCTGTGCTGTTTTGTTGCGGTCGCACATCGGACGAGAAGCACAGTGGTGCCCCGGTGTAACACGCACACACCGAACGCGTAGTCAGCAAACGGGATGAGAAATTGCGATCTATATATATATATATATATATATATATTAGCACAATGAATTACTGAATTTATTAGAGCCGCAGATGTGGAGTCAATATAATGCCATATATATATATATATATATGCATGCGCGCAAACGAAAATAGAGTTTTGCAAAATATAAATGAAACGGCACAAAAGCAATGATTTTGCAATACATATTTTCCTTGGCCATATCTACTAATTTATTTGCAACGCTGCTTTTATTTTGCGTTTCAGTCACGTTTGAGCTTGCCATAGCCTACCGTTTCTCCCTTTGCGCTTCACGTTTCTGCGTCTCGCTTTCAAAACTTTCACTGTTGTCATGGGGGTGGAGTCAAGGGACGAGGGCGTGTACAACAGGCCTGGGCGTGCCTCCCTGGAAGTGACGTCATCGGCCCGAGATGCAGCTCACTGATCCAGGCACCATCCTTGAGTATGGAATAAAATCACTGTCAAAAATAATCGTACGTAATTCAAAGCATTTGTGTCATTTTAATTTACTCGTGCGTAATTTAAAAAGTATTGTATGTAATTCTGTTTTTTTTTTTTGTCAGTTGGATTCCAAAATCTACATCAACGACAGTTTACATATACAAGATTGTGTGTTTGTTAACAGTACAACTCCAAAATGTACGACTATGACAGTTTACAGACACAATGCTTGTTTTCACAACAGCTCTGTTACATGCACGACATGCGAATTGCGACACGAAGTGCGGTGTGCGAAACGACTGTCAAAAATACGTCGTCATTGTCACAGGCGTTACTATCCGAGGGAAGATGAATCGATTCCACGAAGTGCGCATGCGCCCCGCCACCGTTTTAAACCACTGGCGCCAAAATGGCGGCTCAGCAGCCAAGTGCTCACTCATCGTCTCAGGTAAGTGTTTTTTTTTTGTTTTTTTTTTCAAATTCGGCCATATGTTTAAGGGTTAGTTATCACTAATGACAGAGAGGAGTAATATTACATAGTTTAACTATAGTAGGTAAGATTAGCTCTTAGTGTACATTTAGGTGTTTAAAGAATTAGAATACAGCTGTTTAGGTATGGAGGACCAAACCTGCAGAAATTTAAACAAATAAATACACAAATAAATAAATGTGTATAAATATGCAAATAAATGTGTATAAATACACGTAATCTTGTTTAAATACATATATAAATTAAATGCGTGATGAAAGTAGTCAAATAAATTGGTGATCAAATGGAAAATGTTTTTTTTTTTTACTTTAAACCGCATAAACACATTTCATTACACCAAATACACAAAATAATTTTTTTTAGCGACATATGACCCCTTTAAGTTCCGCCCGCTGTGGGATCTCTAGCGGAAAAAAATATATACGCTGATAAACTAACTAGCCGTTATTCACGTCACGATGGAAGCCGCAAATAACGTAAGTGAGGACATTTACTAGGCCGCTGAGCCAATAATAATATTTATTATAAACGCTGCTTGTTTGTCACGAAGTGTCTGTCGCTATTTGTTTTGTCAGCGCTGTCATGATGTGTTGTCTTAAACACATTACATTTGTTGGTTTTGTGTGATGGGAGGGAGTGTCTGTTTTGCCCGCTGACTGAAGTGCAGATATTTGTAATGAGGATTTGCATTTGTCTTAAATTTAGCTGTTTTATTTAGGTAATATCAGTCACTCTCGCTGTGCTGTTTTGTTGCGGTCGCACATCGGACGAGAAGCACAGTGGTGCCCCGGTGTAACACGCACACACCGAACGCGTAGTCAGCAAACGGGATGAGAAATTGCGATCTATATATATATATATATATATATATATTAGCACAATGAATTACTGAATTTATTAGAGCCGCAGATGTGGAGTCAATATAATGCCATATATATATATATATATATGCATGCGCGCAAACGAAAATAGAGTTTTGCAAAATATAAATGAAACGGCACAAAAGCAATGATTTTGCAATACATATTTTCCTTGGCCATATCTACTAATTTATTTGCAACGCTGCTTTTATTTTGCGTTTCAGTCACGTTTGAGCTTGCCATAGCCTACCGTTTCTCCCTTTGCGCTTCACGTTTCTGCGTCTCGCTTTCAAAACTTTCACTGTTGTCATGGGGGTGGAGTCAAGGGACGAGGGCGTGTACAACAGGCCTGGGCGTGCCTCCCTGGAAGTGACGTCATCGGCCCGAGATGCAGCTCACTGATCCAGGCACCATCCTTGAGTATGGAATAAAATCACTGTCAAAAATAATCGTACGTAATTCAAAGCATTTGTGTCATTTTAATTTACTCGTGCGTAATTTAAAAAGTATTGTATGTAATTCTGTTTTTTTTTTGGTAATATCAGTCACTCTCGCTGTGCTGTTTTGTTGCGGTCGCACATCGGACGAGAAGCACAGTGGTGCCCCGGTGTAACACGCACACACCGAACGCGTAGTCAGCAAACGGGATGAGAAATTGCGATCTATATATATATATATATATATATATATTAGCACAATGAATTACTGAATTTATTAGAGCCGCAGATGTGGAGTCAATATAATGCCATATATATATATATATATATATATATATATATATGCATGCGCGCAAACGAAAATAGAGTTTTGCAAAATATAAATGAAACGGCACAAAAGCAATGATTTTGCAATACATATTTTCCTTGGCCATATCTACTAATTTATTTGCAACGCTGCTTTTATTTTGCGTTTCAGTCACGTTTGAGCTTGCCATAGCCTACCGTTTCTCCCTTTGCGCTTCACGTTTCTGCGTCTCGCTTTCAAAACTTTCACTGTTGTCATGGGGGTGGAGTCAAGGGACGAGGGCGTGTACAACAGGCCTGGGCGTGCCTCCCTGGAAGTGACGTCATCGGCCCGAGATGCAGCTCACTGATCCAGGCACCATCCTTGAGTATGGAATAAAATCACTGTCAAAAATAATCGTACGTAATTCAAAGCATTTGTGTCATTTTAATTTACTCGTGCGTAATTTAAAAAGTATTGTATGTAATTCTGTTTTTTTTGTCAGTTGGATTCCAAAATCTACATCAACGACAGTTTACATATACAAGATTGTGTGTTTGTTAACAGTACAACTCCAAAATGTACGACTATGACAGTTTACAGACACAATGCTTTCGATAATGATAATTAGACTATATTTTGCTGAGTGTTATTGTGCCGGTACCTTAAGGACTGCCGCAGACAGCTGACTCCTAATGTTTTTAATATTCTTCATTCTGTGTGGTGGTCAGTTCACACTGAGAGAAATGAATCTTTTCCAATCCACCTTTTTCTTGTCGTAAAAATGGGCGTGGCCATTTGTAAATTATATGGGTCTGGCTTCCGGTCTCATCTGCGTCCACTCCGCCCAGCTATTTTTAGCTGAGCAAAACAGTTCGTTTTGCTGCTTGATATTGAAAGTTGGTGTGTCTTATCATATTATTTTAATGTATTATCTTAATTATGAACACATTGGTTTGTAGTGCAAACAGTTTTACCGTTTACTGCACGTTGTTATTCTCCTCGTTATTTACCTATAGCGGCTAATGAACCGGAAGTCTCACCCATAGGCTTACTTCCGCGTTGAAGAAAAAGGTGGATAGGTTTAAACTGATTTTTGCGTTTTATGGGCATTTTACCTTTTTATAAAGCCATTTTTTTCTAAAAGTGTCCATTATCTTTTGAGTCAAATTCTTACATTTAATCAGTTAATTAGAATAATAAGACATTTGGGCTGTTACCAAGCAAATTAAATCAACACAGAAGCTGCATCTGAAGTGGCATTTAGATGTATTTACACATGTATTTTGTTTAATGCAAGACATGAGTGCATTTAACCTGCAATTACAAATGCATAAATAATGTTTTGATATATTAAACATGAAACGTTGAATACTGATATTTGAAATGATTTAAAACATGGAAAGAAAAGGCCGACATGTGAAATTAAAACCGCCAGCAGGTGGCAGCAAAGCACTTACTAAGTGAGTCATTGCGATTGAACCGAATCATTTAAACGAGTGATTCATTCGGGAACGAAACTTCAATAGCATTTGAGGAAAATTACTTGCAGTAACACAACCAACTGTGAAGTGTTCATGTAGTTCTCAGTTATAATGCACACCTTTTTAGATTTTTGATCTTTATTCAAATAAACTAAATTCATATCTACACTGTAGATATGTATTCCTACACTAGGGGGCATTGGGAAAATAAAAAATATGAAGTTACACAATTGTCATTGTTGTTTTCCATTGTTATTTTAATGGAACTGCTAATTTTACAATTTGTGCATATAGTTTTACAGTAACTGAAAAGTGACGCAAACCAATTACAGTAAACTTTACAGTATAACAGTGTTTTCTATTGTTTTAAAATGCATTACTCACGAAAGGACCAAAAAATGAATACAATAATAAAATATTTTAGTTAAACTATTACACTGTAAATACATTTACAGCACGTTAAATGACACTGTAAAATAAAATACAGTATTTTTGCTACAAAATAAAATTACAGTAAGTTACGACCGAACTGCTGCCAGTTAGTTACTGTAATTTCTTCAGTAAGTTTTTTTTTTTTTTTGACAGTGATTTTATTCCATACTTGAGCAGAGGCATGCGGGTGGATCGTTTCCTTTTATTCTCTAGCATTAAAACATGCATGTTTTTGTTTTATTAACAAATGTATGTGTATTAGCTGTGTTTGCTCAAGTTAAAGTTAACATGAACATCTGCTGTTTACTTCTCTCAATGTGCACACTTTTATAGCATTAAAATTTGTATGGTTTCATTTGGTTAACTAAATGTGTTTGTTTAAAATCTCTTAACCAGTGGGAGGACGCCAGCGCACAGAAGCGTTCTTTGTTTACATGAGTTCAGAGTTACTGCTAGATTTAATGTTAAAGAATGCAATTAACTTCATAAACTAACTTACATCATTAGAAAGGTCTACGACTCAAGCTTTATATCGGTCTCAACTTCGTTTTTCATTTACACAATTTTTGGCAGGTCTAGAACAGCGGTTCTCATTTCCAGTCCTCGTGTACCCCCGCTCTGCACATTTTGTGTGTTTCTCTTATTGCTTCAT